AATCGGACTGGGACAAATCGGCGTCGGGCGCCGTTGCCGTTCCAAAGCGCTCCGGGACGCGCTGAGAGTGTTACCGAACGCCCCGAGAACGTCCCAGTACCCCACACTCCTGCCCCTCACCCCCCCGCCTCCTTACGCAAGGGGAGGCGATAGGGGTGGACTGGCTCGGGGAAGGGGGGCTGACATCGACCTGGAATCGGGGATACGTCGCCGACAGACCAGCGATAGACCACCGATAGCGAATCTGCACGTTCCTGGGCGGGGCCGTCTGTCCGGCCCCCATCGGCGCTGAATGATAGGCGATCGGGGGCCGATGCGTCCCACTGTCATCCTAGCTCCCTTGAACTTTGCTTTTGGCTCCCCCTCCTCCTGGGAGGCACTGGCGAAGAGGGTGCGAAGTGGCCATCGGCGCGATCTACGCGCCGCGGGGGTTGTGTCCCCGCCGCGGCCCCGCAGCGGCCGCACGCCGCCAGGGCTGAGGGGCTCGGAGTCGCTGAGCTCCGAAGGTCCGCCTGGCTCCAGTACTGGGAAATGCTGCGCTGACCATGCACCTCCTCTCCCCCTCCTCCTCCTCCTCCTCCTCCTCCTCCCTCCTCCTCCTCCTCTCTCTCCTCCTCCTCCTCCTCCTCCTCCTCCTCCTCCTCCTCCTCCTCCTCCTCCTCCTCCTCCTCCTCCTCCTCCTCCCCCTCCTCCCCTGCCCTCCTCCTCCTCCTCCTTTTCTTCCTCCTCCTCCTCTTCCTCCTCCTCCTCCTCCTCTTTCTCCTCCTTCTCCTCCTCCTCCACCTCCACCTCCTCCTCCACATCCACCTCCTCCTCCTCCTCCTCCTCAACCTCCTCCTCTCCTCCTCCTCTTCCTCTTTCGCCTCCTCCTCCTCCTCATCCTCATCCTCATCCTCATCCTCATCCATCATCATCATCATCATCATCATCATCATCATCATCATCATCATCATCATCATCATCATCATCATCATCATCATCATCATCATCATCATCATCATCATCATCATCATCATCAGCATCAGCATCAGCATCAGCATTACCATCATCATCAGCATCAGCATCATCATCATCATCAGCAGCAGCATCCTTCCTTCTCCTCCTCCTCTTGTTCCTCCTCCTTATCCTCCTCCTTCTCCTCCTCATCAGCATTAGTATTATCATTATTTGTTTATCCGAATTAATATTAGTACGCTATTGCTAGTATTACTTGTATGATTAGTAGTATGTTTTATTAGTGTTCTTCTTAGTCGTGTTGATATTGTTAATACTATTCTTGCTGTTAAACATATGATATGCTTATTATTAGTATCCGTAGTAATACTCTGAATAGTAACATTATTATTATTATTATTCGTGTTAGTAGCCTTCTTGTTGGTAGTATTATACATCTTGTTGCTAGCACTACTACGATTATTCTTCGTATGCTCATTATCATTATTGATATTATTAACTCGCCGGCCCAATGGGCCAGAGGAGTGCTAAGATCTCCGGTAACTGGTTGACAATATTTCTAGTTCGCGCGCGCGGAGAGGCCCCTGGGGGCCCCCGGACGACAGCTACCCCGGCAAGGTCCTGGGAGAAGCCACCAGAGCACTCCAGGGGAGGGCCATTGTTCGACACCTCTCACGAGGATCGTGGCCTCCGAGGGGGGAGCCGCAATCGACTACCCCCCTCCCCCCCCAAGAGGCCCCCAAAAGCCCCCTAAGAGGCCCTGGGGGCCCTCTTGACGCCGCCAAGGAGCCCCAAGAGACCCCCAAGAGGTCCCCAAGAGGCCCCCAAGAGGCCCTAAAGAAGGCTCCAGGGCCGGCGGAATGAGCGACGCGATTAAATAATAGCATTGGTGTTATTACTATTACCTAACAGCTTTTGCTGATAGGTTTCTAGTAGGGTCAAAAGAGAGCATCATGACTCCTCAGGGGGGTCTGGGCGGGTGCCGGGGAGGAGAACCGGGAATCGTTTTTCGCCAACAGTCACACACTTCGTGCTCTTCGACCTCCCAGAACTCCATTCCCGGGCCACATTCTGGAGAACCGGGAACAGAGCCGGGCTCGCTTTTCGCCAACAGTCACACACTTCGTGCTCTTCGACCTCCCAGAACTCCATTCCCGGGCCACATTCTGGAGAACCGGGAACAGAGCCGGGCTCGTTTTTCGTCAACGGTCACACACTTCGTGCTCTTCGACCTCCCAGAACTCCATTCCCGGGCTACATTTTGAGTGCCCGGAGCCAACTGTAGGCCACTTCGTGCTCTTCGAGTTCCCAGAACTCCATTCCCGGGCCACATTTTGGATGCCCGGAGCCAACTGTAGGCCACTTCGTGCTCTTCGATTTCCCAGAACTCCATTCCCGGGCCACATTTTGGATGCCCGGAGCCAACTGTAGGCCACTTCGTGCTCTTCAAGTTCCCAGAACTCCATTCCTGGGCATGATTTTGAATGCCCGGAGCCAACTGTAGGCCACTTCGTGTTCTTCTAGTTCCCAGAACTCCATTCCTGGGCCACATTTTGAATGCTGAGGCAGGCTGATGCTGCGGCCGAGGCAGGCTGAGGCTGAGGCAGGCTGAGGCTGAGGCCGAGGCTGAAGGCAGACTGAGGCTGAGGCTGAAGCAGACTGAGGCTGAGGCTGAGGCAGGCTGAGGCTGAGGCTGAGCAGGCTGATGCTGAGGCAGGCTGAGGCTGAGGCTGAGGCTGATGCAGGCTGAGGCTGAGGCAGGCTGAGGCTGAGGCCGAGGCTGAAGGCAGACTGAGGCTGAGGCTGAGGCAGGCTGAGGCTGAGGCTGAGGCAGGCTGAGGCTGAGGCTGTGACTGCGAATGCCGTTGCCGCTGCGACTGTCATCGCGAATGCGACTACGACTGCGAGACCAGCAGAATTATACAACTGAATTTTCATCTGAATAGTAAGGGGAATGCTTTCAGATATGCTTCTACATATCGCTCTTAGGTTGCTTTGCCGGGATAATTATTTGCCTTTATTGTTATTCTTATTAGCATTATTATTATTACTAGTATTAGTATTATTAATATTAGCATTATCAATATTATTATTAATAATATTATCATTGGTATTATTAGTAGTATTATTAACATTAGTATTATTCTTACTCTTATTATTATTATTAACATTAGTAGTATTATTAAATTAATAGTATTGATATTATCAATATTATTACTATCATTATTATTATCATAAGCATCATTATTAGTAGTATTATTAGTCGTATTATTATTCGTATTATTATTAGTAGTAGTATGAGTATTGTTATTTCCAGCATTCGTATGTTTATTAATATTAGTATTACTATTATTAGTATTACTATTATTAGTATCATCATTGTTATTATTCGTCTTATTATTATCCGTATTGATATTAATGTTATTATTAACAGTATTCGTACTAGTACTAGTAGTAGTATAGGTATGAGTATTAGTATTACCATTATTATTCTGCATAGTAGTATTCGTATCAGTCTTTTTGTTCGTATTATTATGATTAATCGTCTTTGCTTTCTCCTTACTAGTATGTTTAGTCCCAGTCGTTGTACTGTTCTGTTTCGTCTGAGTGTAAATAGTATTGTTACTACTACTCGAATTAATAATATCAATTGCATCATGATGTGTATTTTTCTTTTTGTCCTTCTTAGCACTATTATTATCATTCCTCTTCCGTTTTTTCCTCCTCCTCCTCCTCCTCTTCCTCCTCCTCCTCCGCCTCCTCCCCCTCCTCCTCCTCCTCCTCCTCCCTCCTCCTCCTCCTCCTCCTCCTCCTCCTCCTCCTCCCTCCTTCCTCCCCCACCTCCTCCTCCTCCTCCTCCTCCTCGTCCTCTCCTGGTCCTCCTCCTCTTCCTCCACCTCCTCCTCCTCCTCCTCCTCCTACTCCTCCTCCTCCTCCTCATCATCATCATCATCATCATCATCATCATCATCTCGTTGAGGACAAGGCAGCAAAGAACCCAACATCGCCCAAATATACCCAATGCCAGGCCTCATTCTGCACCTTCCATGTTGAAATATGTGGACTTCGTCTCTGGACGGCCTCTGCAGGGGAAAAACGGCTGAACGTCATGTGTGAAACACTGGCTTCCCGATATTAGTTCCAAATTGAAACGCCGATCATCACTTCTCTGTGCATGGCACTCAGCGCTCACATCCCGCGCAGCACACCACTGCGCGCTGCGCACACGACCTATACCCATGAATTCGCGCATCCAACTAGTATGACCGAATCAAGCGCGCCCTGTGGGAATCTCATGATCTTCACTAGATGTTGACCTGAAAACAGACGCCGAATCATTAGCGTGGGATACCCGGATGGCCAGACCACATACTTCTCGAACGTCTCGCAGCACCTTCAGCGGCAATGGGCCGGCCGGCAACTCACGCTAAGCGACGAGCGTGAAACGCGCCTCGTCTAGGGCGCGGACGGCCGCCAGCTCTCCCGCTGCAAAACTGGACCGCACCTGAAGTCGATGAGACTTGAAAATGCCGTCGCACCAGTGCACCACGGATTTGCA